TAGGCTTGAGAAAATCACTCCAATAGCAACCCACGAAGATTTCTCACGATCTCCAGCTTACGGCACGACAGATTCGAGTCTCCAGGCTCTTCGAACAACAAATGAACCAAGCTTCCTCTCCAACAGGGAAATCAGAAAAGAAATTACCCTAATCGAATGAAGAATAGAGCATTCGAATCTCCCTAAAATCCCTCAAGAACTCTCTCAAAATTTTCAACAACCACCAACAGTAGTTTAGGAAGTTACTTTATAGGCAGAGAAGAAGAGAAGAAGTAATATACCAGCCACCCATTTCAGCAAATCACATGAGAGGAGAGGAGAAAAAATTAAAGCAAGAAGAAATGCGACCTGGGGCAGAGGAAGGGTCGGCCAGGTGGAAACTCGGGGTTGGGGGAACATTCGGTCGAGGGGAACTCGAAGGGACGAGCCACGTGCGCAACCAACGGCGGAGTACCGCGTGCGAGGAGGCGAGAAGGCGATTTCGGGAGAGGAGGCGGGCGATCGCCTCGGTCTCGGGTGAGGAGCAGTCGCGGGAGAGGCTAGGGCACGGGACCGAACCGGGCGGTGTCGAGGGGAAAAGAAATGCCGCGTATGCCTTTTAATCGGGTTTATGCAAGTCAGGGAAAAACCTAAATAAAGTTAGGTTAAATATTATTTAAGAAAAAAAAACATTTAAGATTTAAAAAAAAAAAAATAAAAAAAAATAAAATTTTAATTCGTCTTTCATTCGTGCATCAAAACACGACAAAATTGATGTCCTTTTAAGGTAATTTTGATGTTCCGGACGCGTCGGTGAGGTTCGTTTCGCCGTCGGAAGTCGTTTTGACGAATTCATCGATTTGCGCGCCAATTTTCTCGTGTCGAAAGTATAGCAATATGGGTGTCCTTTCCTACCAAAATGGGTATCCCGGACGCGTTGGTGCAGTCCAATTCGTCGTCGGAGGTCATCCGGAGAAGTTCGCATTTTCACCCGTCCTTTGGGCTTAATTGAAGTCTGATTTCGTGCAGTTTCGTGAATTTCGTGTATTTGATGTGTGTATGTGACGAAAGTGGTCGTGACGATGTTTTCCCTGAGGCTTGAAGTCCTATTTGGATCATCTTCCTTGAATCTTTGCAAAATAGCCCATAACCGCTCGTTCATAAAACGATGGTCTTGTGCCAAAGATGCTAGACATCAAAGGAAAATAGGAATCGGCTGGAGCTTCTAGAAGGGTGAGTCTCAATTCTAGTTTTCTAAGATGGTCCATAGGGATTTCTAGAGCTAGAACCTAGGCTCTAAGGAGGAGAGGAAAAGACCTCACACACAAAAATAAGGTCAACAGAGGTCAGCTACATGAATCATTTTTGTCAATCGCATCCTATTTAGTTTACACAATGATCAAAATGATTTATGTCATGATTTTTCAACAAGTTTTACGCTGGCTGTCGACTACCTAACACAACCTTCACTTTTCACTTTATTGTACATGCTCACATCTTATAGATGCTACTCTCATCATTATTTATTAAAATAAAAAATTGTGACCATATAGGGGTCTTCTAACCCGGTGGTCTATAAGATGTGTATGGGTCTTCCCTTGCATGAAAGTATGCGAGCACTATTTTTCTGTATTTATACTTTTGCTTGCGAGGTGGTGACGATGACGGTGAAATGAGATCACCAGGTTGGTGAATTGTCACATGATTCTCTATCCCCCCTCTTTCTCTCTTTTTTTATTTAATTTTTCGGTTAGAGAAGAGGCAAGGAGAAAAAAAAGGAGAGAAGCGAATTAGGTAGGTGACATAGTAGAGAAGAGGCTCATGCGTTTGGGTCTACGAACAAGAGTGGATGGATGGCGAGAAATGAGAGTTTTGGAGGTCTCTATGTTGTGCATGATACCAACCAAAGGTGATAACAAAATAATACCAGACACAGGGGGGTAGTTATTGACTTCGGTAATAATAGTGGAAAGAACTGGGAAATATAGTAAGAACAAGATAATGTGTAAACACCACTGGGGACCAGTCCATGATACAACTGCAGGGCAAGGTTTGGATGGACCGAAACCCCCCAAGAGAAAACAAATACTAGCCTAAACCCTAAACTGACCCTAATTATAAGTATGTCCTCATAAAACATAAAAACAAATAAAAAACTAATACACATAAACCAAGGTATATAATGAAAATAGAACTTTTGCTTCTGCGTCGTTCTCTCAGGGTTGGCAAGGTTCCCTCATATTGAGCAATCTTAAATCTGATTCGTAATGAGCAGCCAACTCAGAAACTTTGAAAGTGATGGAGTTGTTTTAATTTCCAGGTAGATTAAGTTCGATGATCCAAGCATCTTCTAACATTCTCTCTGTTGAAACTGCATCAAGGGGTTTCTAGCTCCAATTTTGAATCATCTCAATCCACTTGACATCAATTTATTGAGAACCAAGATTGTAGGTGCAGTTCTTACTATAAGATATCCAACTTGCCTCATATCAGGCCGGAATACAGTGACCGAGCTTCCAAGCTTAGTTGCCATTGAAGGAATGATGCTTGATCTATATGATCATGTATATCAGTCTGATGTTGATGGCTGAGAAAAGCAAAATCAGCATATCGTCTAATTTGATCACCCTGCAAATCCCATCTAGTATGAAAATTTTCACCATCAACTCTTCTATTAACTGCATATTCAGATTTTTTTCACCGTGAAAACCTGGTCTCCTTTATGAGCATATCCATGATTAGAAGCCAAAAAATAGTTATCTTTATATGTGTCGTACACGGGCATTGATGATGATTTCATACTAGATTTCATTCCATTAACATCAGACTGGTATACATGATCATATAGATCATCGAAACTTATGTCTTTTTGATCGAATCTTCAAACCCATCGAAACTTATGTCTTTTTGATGAAATGAATTTTCATTCCCTTCTCTCACTGCCTCAGAATCATGTGTTACTGAGCGTTCCTCCGTAGTTTTCTGTTCCAAGATGGCACTTCTCCTTTTCATATGTTGCATTTTAAACAAAAGATCCTCCATGGATACTTATTGATTGGTTCTTGGCATGGTCTTGCATGGGAGCATGATGTTTTGTTGAAAAGTTGTGCAAGAAAGGAAAGAGAGAATGCAAGAGGAGCACTGATGTGAAAAACAAGAAGAGAAAAAATGTATCCTTCTGAAACAAGGTTTCAGTAGGAAAGATCAAGAAGATAGCAGGTTTGTCAGTCTAAGAAGCTGAAGCCTCATCTCATATTTTGGGAACAGAAACGTGGCACAAGATTTCAATCAGGTTGAGACAACAACTGATGTTGTAGCTCGGAAATAGGAAACCATAACAACGGGGAGAAAGAAATATAACAGGAAAACAACCAAAAAATGATAATGGAGAATTGAAAATTCAGATTTCTGAAAACTGGAAACAACAATAGATAAAAGAACTCAGTTGCACGCAATGTGTTTCAGGAATTCAGAGATGATCTTAGCCAGTTCAAGAAAGGATTTGACGCAAGAACGTCAAAGCTCTGATACCAAAAAGATACATGCCGAAGGGGGGTTGTTATTGATACTAAACATCACTGGAGAGCCAATTCATAACACGGATGCAGGGCAAGGTTTGGATGGACTGAAACCTAAAAAAAAAAAAAAAAACAAACACAAGTCTAAAAACTCTTTTGTCCTCAGCCCCACGCAAAAGAAACCCTATTTATTAATGCTAGACTCTTCTAATTACACGTATGTCATCCTAAAACATTAAAACATAAATAACAAATTAAAACACATAAATTAAAACATATAAAGTGAAATAAAACTCTAGCTCCCGTGTTATACTCTTGTCACGTGCTGCGAAGGAGAGAAAGGAGCAATGGGCGAGCAAAACTGGAAAGTGCTTTGAACTTCTTGAGTCAAGCGAGAGATGGAGGGGTTTTGAAGGTTTGCATGTCGTGATTCAGCTATTGCTTTCCCACCGACCGTATCACAAGGGTTTTAGGGAGCTGGTTGGAGCGATCACTTTTGTGTGTAAACAAGGGAGGTGAAGGCTGGGAGGTGGGCATTCGGCACTGCGGTTTTCCTACGTGTGAAATCAGAGCAAAGATTATATGGAATGGGAACTTCTGCTTTGACTTCAGCTTGAGTCATGTGAATACAGGGGGGGAGAAGAGCAAAGGGCTTCAATATCTGCTTCATGCATGAAAGGAGAGGGTCGAACAATGAGGGAGTTTCATTTTTTGTCCCAGGAAGAAGTAAATGGAGTGGGGTCTTCATGCTTGTTATCTGGGAGATGAAGGGAGAGAATAGGGGTCGGTTTTGGAGTTATTTCGTGCGAGCTTTAGAAACTGTCCGAGCAGTTTTCACATTTTAGGGTGGGAGCGGTTAGAGTTTTGATATATTTTATTTATTTTTATCTTCTATTCAATTTTTATGGTTGACGAGCTGCAGTATTTACCTAATATCCAGTATTTATTTTATTCATTCTTAAAGCCTCTTAAAAGTAAATGCGTAGTATGGAAATTATCTACATTCAGATTATACCAGTTGTTCTACTCAACAGCGCCAAATTGACAACTTCTTACTGCGTTTCAAAAGCTGTCAATTAGTAACATATTTGAGCAAGTTTTCTCAAGCTGTTTAGCTGCCACAGTTTTGGACCACACTTGGTCACATGTATAAATACTTTCTTAAGCTTACTGAATTTATGGCTCAGCTCAACATTTGTTCAAGGATCCCACATACAGAACTATTCTGCTGGAATTGTTTATGGGGTTTAAATTTGATTACAATGTTAAGAGTGGGATGTATATGGAGTATTATAAGTTTGAAGAGAGAATAAGGTCTCTCAGAACTGCCCCCAAACTATTGGAATAAGGCTCCCTGCATGCAAAAAAATTAGCAAGTAACATTGAACACCGAACTGTTTGATTCTCCTGTTTGATGTCTAATCCTCGCATGTTTATATCCATCATGAACTAAATTTATTTAAATGTTTTGTTGGGAACTGAGTTCAACACTTTATTTTTCAGTCTTCTAATAGAGGAATTCAGAAGACACATTTGAGGTATTCTTCTGAAGGTCTATTTGGTCATTCTTCAAAAAAATCTACGACTTCTGATGGCTCTCTTAAGGGAAGAGGATCGGCTGCACCCACAGGATTATCAACTTCTGTGTCCTTGAACATGCATGGCTTCTTCGAACAAACATTAGTATCCAGAGAATCTAATGAGAACACTTCTCCAGAAGGTAGTTCTTATATTCCTCCATTTAAGACGAGTATAAATAATTTGTTTTTGCTCCAATTTTCTATTGGGGCATTTACATACATACCACACAATTCTTTTGTATTTACGTATTTAAGATCTAATGACCTATACATTCATATTCACATGCCACTCTAATCTTTAACATCATATAAAAAACACCACCATCATTACATTTTAAAAGTGAAATAAACTTTTTCGTGCCTAGATTTATGACACCAAGGTGTTAATAAGTTTAAATATCAAATTTTGGGTGTTAGAAATGTAAATACGTAAGAATTGTGTGGTTTGCGTGTAAATTTTCCTTTTTTATTTCTCTTAGCAATGAATAGCAACTATTTTTAAGTTAGACCATGAAAACCGGAAGCAGATTTCTATTATATATTCAATCACTAATTCATATGGAAATTGTACGGACATGTCAATATTTGAACCATCTCATCATTTCTGGGAATTGGTGCTCTAGCATGTTGTCACGACTCGGTCCAGGACTTAAAATTAACCAAAGTAGGAATGGACAGTCTGACGGTAAGATTAAACTTTATATTATTCTATTTATATTACTAACAATTTAATATCTACCTATTAATTAGAAAAGCCACTAAATGAAGCAATTTAATTAACAAATAAAAATACATTTTTTGGGTTGTTGATCTTGCATTCTAGTCACATTATCGCTTCTAGTACTCAACTATTCATCTTTTAAAATCTAAAACCTGAAAAGTTATTAAAACAACATAATGAGTTTTTTCAGATAATCCAGTTGAGTAATCACACTTATAAATTGTAGCAATTTGAGGAAAATAAAATAATATGCATACTGGCATTTCATATTTCACTATAGAAATCTTATAATTTTCTAATGTTTGTGTTTATGATATTTACTCAATGGAAATAATAAAAAATTTTATACGCATTAACTTTTACTTTACTTTTAAATGCTTAATTTTTAAATTTATTTTTATTTTATGCTCTTAAGTTTCACATATGTTTAAGGAGCACCGTTAAATATACATAACACTCCCTTGATCAATATTATAGCGGTTGGTTTTCTAAATTACATATTTGTCTGAGGTGACAAAGTGTTTGTTCTTCTCTGGTCGATATTATATTGTCAGTACAACATTTAGTGATCTAAGTTTCACAATTGATTGAGATGATAGGAAAACATATACATGCACAGGTACATTGATGTCTCGTGTCTGTACTATAATGAGGTAAACTCCTCTTAATACACACATACACACATTTATATTTATATTATTTTATTTTTCATAACATACATTTTATTTTCATAAAAAAATAAATATCTTATGTATTCAATAAACTAAATGGGTTGGAGAAAAGGCTAACGATTGATAACTTCTGTTTTGAACTTTGGTATTCAAGTAAAAGACACACTAGAAATGATTTAGTTGTAATTATAGATAAGAGTTTGAACTTCATTGCCCCCAACCGTGTCCCGTGCCTCTATTGAAACAGAATGATTTCATGTTCTTTCATCGATTGGTTATTCCTCCCCGTTCGTATCTCCTTATCCCATTTTGGTCTCTATTAGTTCACAAGATTGAAGGGCCAAGTCATTGAAAAGCCTAGAAATAATATTGTAAAAATTAGTAGTATTGGAGATAGAATTATAACTCTTAAGATTATTGTTGATACTAAGATTTTTAATATTATAAGTGCTTATGCTTCTCAAGTTAGTTTAGATATAGGTTCTTCTAGAAGACTTAATACAAATGTTACCTCTTGAAGATTTTAGAAATGTTCATAGTGGCTATTTGGAGTGATTGATGAAGAAGGTAGAGCCATATTAGATTTAGCTTTAGCGTTCGATTTTATTATTGTTAATATTTTATTCAAGAAAAGAGATGAACATATTATTCCTTATAAGAATGGATCTAATAAAATACAAATTGATTATTTTCTTATGAGAATAAAAGATTACCGAGAATGTAAAGATTGTAAGGTCATTTCGAGTGAGGATTTAAATACTCAACATCAATTACTAGTTCAAGATATTACGATTAAGAGTTGTAAAATAAAGAATACTAGGAATCATCGTTATATAATTAAATGGGGATACCTAAAAAACACAAATAAAATTATTTTTATGAGTAAAATTTAATATTTCAAAATTTGGGATGTTCATGAAGAAGCAAGTTTTATGTGGGATAGAGTAACAAATACTAAACAAGTGACAAAATATATAATTGGAGAACCTAAAGAAAAAGTTTCAATAAATAAAAATAGTTTGTGGAATAATAACATGCAAGAAAAGATAAAATATAAAAAGTTATGTTATAAAAATTAGTTTAAATATAAAAGCTTAGAGAATTGAGAAAAATATAAAATGCCCCATAGGGAGTCTAAGAGAACAATTTGTGACTCTAAAAATTCTGTTGTAGTGATATTTATAATAAATTAGATACTAAAAAGAGTGATATATATAGTTTTTCTTAAACAGAGATATTCAACACAGGTGGGTGAGTTATTTTGATAAAATTTTCAATGAAATACGATTAACTTTAGTGATTTTAATATTGTTAATAATAATAAAATATTTTATTTTTACAGTCGCATTTGTGAAAAAGAAGTTAATAAGGCTTTAAAGAAAACCAAGGGTAGAAAGTCTGTAGAACCTGATGATATCCCAATTGAAATGTGAAAATATTTAGGAGATTTGGGATTTTTTTGGCTTACTATTCTTAATATTATTTTAAAAACTAAAAAGATGTCTGAGGAGTGGAGAAATGGTATTTTGTCCTCTATTTTTAATAAAGGGATGCACAAGTGTGTGCAAATTATAGAGAAATTAAGATGATGTATCATACTTTAAAATTATGGAAGAGAATAATCGAACATGGGTAAATTGGATTTCTCATAATCATTTTGGATTTATGTCGGGCAAGTCTACCATGGAAGCTATGGATTTATTGAGATGTTTTATGGAGAAGTACAAAGAGAATAATGAGGATCTACATATGATTTTTATTGATTTAGAAAAAGATTACGATGAGGATTTAAGAGATATCCTTTGGAGAGTTCTAGAGAAGAAATATGTTGATATGACTTATATGCAAGCATTAAAAATATGTATACTAGAGCTGTTACTTGTGTTCGAACATAAGGAGGATTGCACAAGTATTTTCCTATTTCAATTGGATTACATCAAGGATCGACTTTAAGCACATATCTTTTTGCTTTAGTTATGGATTGTCTTATGGGACATTTCTTACTAGACATTTACAGGAAGATGCACATTCATTTATGCTTTGTGCCGATGATATCCTTCTTGTGGATAAGATTAGAGAAAAAACCACAAAAAACTTGCATTATGGAGGTCGACATTGGAGCCTAATGGCCTTCGTTTGAGTAGAACTAAAATTGAATATATGGAATGTAATTTTAGTAGTAGTAGCTCTTGTGATAGAGTTTTAATTATAGGTGATAAAATTATTAAAAGACGTGAACGCTTTAGATATCTCGGGTCATTGTTCAAAGTGTTATCGATATAGGTGGGGATATTATTAGTAGAATTCAAGTTTGTTGGCTGAAGTGGATGAATGCTTCGGGTTTATTGTGATAGAAAAGTACCACTTAGACTGACACGAAAAGTTTATAAGATGGTGGTGAGACTTTCAATGCTTTATGGCGTTGAATGTTTGCCTTTAAAAGAGAAGCATAAAACCAAGCCAAGTGTTGCTGAGATAAGATGCTTAGGTGGATGAGCGACTCTACACTTAGAGACAAAATATGAAATGATTATATCCGTGATTGAGTTGGTGTAGCTCCAATGATGAACAAAATTAGTGAGAGTAGTCTTAGATGGTTTGGTCACATTAAATGTCGACCATCTGATGATCCGATTAGGAGAGTAGATGTTTTAGATTCGACTTACGTTGAGAAAAATAAAGGTAGAGCTAGAAAAACTTAGGCATATTGTATAAAAAAGGATTTTAATTATAGAATTAAATGAAAATATGACACTCAATAGTTTACAATGGATAAAAATAATTCATGTAGCCGACCCCACTTAGTGGGATATATGTTTGTTGTTGTTGTTGTTGAACATACATTTTTTTTTCGTATTAGACAAATTGTATTCATCTACTAAAAATAGTACAACTCTTTTAAAATATAAGGTCATGTGATAATCCGATTGATGTACGTTTTTAGGAATTCTAAAGGTCAAGCAATAATGTGACTTTTACAACTGGTCATTAAATAACTTATAATATGCATCTCTACTAGAACATAAATGTTATGCAACAATCTGATATCTTCCTAAAACATACTATTATGCAACTATTAAGACTACGATATTTAACATGCATATTTCAGGATTGCAATATGAAGAATCATATGTGATTTAGTTTCGTTAATATAAGACATGATAGTGAAAAAGTGTAAGTAGGAATATATTTAAAAATAAGAAATATTATTGTAATATAAAAACATAATTGCACCTTGATTTTATTTGTTTTCTAGTTTTCCTTGAATTTTTTTTTTATTTTGACAATTTAAGGATCTTGATTCATTCAATTATTTAAATACATGGTTCTTCAACATTCGATTTCTAATATTAAATATTGCTAATAATATTAATATTAAATCACATTAATTTACACATTACTTTGGAAATAAAGCACTAACATGATCATAATGCTAATTCTTCTAGTTTTCATATTAGAAGATTCTCCCACCTCAAATTTCTGACATTATTTTGTATTAGAACTTATTACTAATATGTAAATCATTATTTATTTGACTATAAATAACTTTCAATTAAACACTTACTTTTAATGATGTTGCAACTTTTTCTTCTCCCTTCAATTTAAATGCTTCTCAATCTAATAATTTTTTGATTAAACAAAACATAATAGTAACATTTAATATCTTTTCAGTTAGAATATTAATCTAAATAAATTTTAAGACATTAAAAACCTTAACCATACATTAAACTTTGCACAGTTCAGTTCGGTTAACTCCTACACTCACACAAGCTTCCTCCTTGCTCACGATAAGTCGATAACACGGCTTGAACTCGAACCTTTTTTCCTTGGCTTCGTCCCTTGTAGTCAAACTCACCACCAGCAAACAATTCCGTTGCATCTACTTCTTCACACACAAGGCAACCTCTCCTCTTTCGGATTCAACTTTATAATCCAAGACATGCACACTGCTTAATTCTCCTTCCCTTGGCTATATGGCTAGGGTTCGACCCTTCTCTGCATGTCAGGACTCGCTGTGTCACACCTTAATAGCACCCCCTTTAAGATTGGCTTAGGTGCGACAAAGGTGTATAATTCAACTATACTAAATTCTCACCTATATTCATCATGACTTGCATAATCAAGACCCATGAACTGATGAACTAATCTAACTAAATTGTCGTAAAACATATATTATACATTTATTTCATATTTCATTCATATTCATATATATTCGAAAGTGTAGAAATTATATCATCAAAATATATATATCTATACAGAACTGTTAAATCCAACATAAATAAGATGAAAACTTAAAAGTATGTACAAGCTCTCAAAATTATAATACAAAAGTTATATAAATCATACATGACCACTCGTTCTGCTGCTTCTTACCACTTCCTGAAAGACAATAAAGTGGATTAAGTAACAACAAGCTCAACAAAATAATTAAGGCTAAAATAAAATTTTTTACACATAAAAGAAACATGCATGTTCGTTTGTATTGTACATGTCTACACACAAGTCACAACATGACAAAATATCTTATAAAAGAAAAACATGTTATAACAAAATCATGATTGTTGTATAAAACATGTATGTCATTCATTCTTGTGTAGTCATAAGCATGTTCATAAGAATTATCAATCTAATCATAACAATGTTAATTATAATTGTATAGATCCAACTATTTTCATGTCTTCTTTTGTTATTGAGTTGTCACTTAGCTTGAAAACTAGATTAGCTATTTGAGAAAGGTGGCCCCCTCCCCCAATGTGACAATTATCAATAGTCCTCATGGCACCAACGATTTTGTATGTTCCGTCACAACCTGATCCCAACAGTTTTCAAAGTTTCGTCACTGAATGAATACCAGAAGTCGGGAATCCCCACATCCCTATCATCTGTACTTGTAAGTATTTATGTAATAGTCTACTTATAACATCAATTCTTTTATTTCTGAAATCATAATTCATGTAACAAGCATTTATCAGGCATTTTAGATATCATATGCTTGAATCATAAAAAATGAATATCTGCAAACAATAATTTCATAAGCATATTTAGATTCATAGTATAGTAAAATCACATGTATTGTAAAGGGGAAATCAATTTGCATTAATACATTCAATGTAGGTATTCCTCCATCTATAAAAAATTCTAAATGCTTCAATGTCATACATGAAATCACTTGAAACTTGGAAAGAATTATTTTTCTTAAGTTAGCACATGATTATTTCATCTAACTAGGCAGAGCAGCCAGACGACGAGTTTCTTCACGCTCATCTCGAGTTCGCTGCCTTGTGTAAACAACTTGAAATTCATAGACATTGTAGGAGTTCGTAGAATTGTCTCTTTTACTAAATCTTACCTCAAATGGGCTTTTCGGCATAACCAACCATTCTCCAATCTTATCTATTATTCTTTCCTCTTATTCATATTCCCTTAAACCTCTCTTAACCTTGTTAATTTCATGTTAAAATCCCCTACAAAAGCCTTCAAAGCCAAGTTTCTCTAACTTCTCCGCTACAACACCAGAAACGAGAAAGTGCACCGATTCGAGGCATACATCAAAATGAAAGAGTATGGAAGGAAATGATTGTCATAACTAGCGTGAAAGAGGGTTTCTACCTTTAGATTTTTCCATAGAACCTCAAGTTGCAAGCTACGGCTCCCTGTTAGTGCCCGAGCCTTATCTTACTCGTGAAGGAGAATTTGGGAGATTGGGGCGCGGCATTCAACATGATCCTCACCTTATCGCAGTCATTCGATCGAATCTTATGGCTGAGAATCACTAAATTGGTCGGCTGGGAATAGTAGAGATGCAAGAGATTTGGAATTAATTAAAATTTATTAAAATAATTAACTCAATATCTTTTATTTTTATATCTCATATTTTATTTATAATTCATTAATAGTGTTATATATTAATCTTATAAAATTGCTTCAGTTAAATTTTGGGAGATATGAAATTTGATGTATATTTTAAAATTATCAAAAATTTTATCTGGTTTTCAAATTTGGGTGTTTCATACTGTGTTGTCTCTTACTTAAGCTGAGGCTCTTACTGCTCACAAGACTCCCTCTGTCTTCCTCCCTTGCACATAGCAACGCTGTCCCTCGGCTTCGTCTCCCAACACTAAACACGTTGAAACCTCTTGCGCACGCAAGCACTGTCAACTTCCCTTCCTCCTTTGAATAGGATACACGCGCTTGCTCCTTGCTACACACGAGAAAAATCGCGCTCGAGTGTGCGTCTTATATCCCTCCTTATTCTTCTTCTTCTCACATGACATGACTTTTGCTCGCCGTCAATTCCGATGTAGCGTCTTCAGCAAGGTGTAATACTTCCTTCTTCGTCTTCTTTTTCTTTTTCTTCTCTCTTTGCTCTCAAGCACTCGCACTGCTCTTGTTCTGCCTTAGTGCACAGCGGGAACTCCCCAGCGCGCGTACTGTTTCAACATTGTTTCCCTTGCTTTAGATGCTCACACAATCTCTTTCGCTCCACTCTCTTCTCTCTCATTTTCCTTCTTCCTTCACTCTCTGCTGCTATGCCTCTTGGTTTCTTCTCTGATTCAAATGAGACGCTCGTCTCATTAAATTGAAACCATCGAGGCATTTGAATCGATCCATTCATTAGACTCATCCATTAGAATTAAAATTTTATTTTAATTATTATTATTATTAACAAAGTTATTACATGCTACGACATTTTTATGGAGTTAATTTCTATATTATCCAAATAACCAGTTTAATTTTAAAATTTTTTTTATGGCTGTTTCATTATGTTCAACGCATCCCTATTATAAACCTGTTGCAGCTGCCTCCACAGAAACTCCATCTTTGTCAAAAGATCCAATGAACATTCCTGAATTTGAGTCAGTGGTTATTGTGGATGATGAAGACATTTGTGATGCGGATAATGAATTGCAAACCTACCCTTATGAACTTTTGAAAGTATCATCAGGTACACCACTGGAAGGCATAGATGTAACAAAACGCGAGGTAAGTTTTGAAGTCTCTTTCTAAAACATGCATCTTTGTAACTTTAGTGTCATGAAAATTAATCTTTTTCTTTTTTGCATCATCATATAATATAAGATCTCAATGTTTGATCTTCTTCAAGTTTAAAATCTTTATCAACAATTATGAATGCCATTTTTTTCTTAATACAAAATCGGGTCATTTACACACATAGTACACCTAAAATCTCCATGTTTGATCTTCTTATGTTTTACATATCTTACACCTAAAATTTCATATTTACACATATACTACTCAAACTTCATGATCACATCAAAAATAGCTCACTTGTACCCCTTTTTAAAAGTAAAAGCACATTTTTATGCATAAGTTCAAAGCACTAAAGTGCTATGTATGTAATTATGGAATTTTAGGTGTGAGATAAGTTACATAAGAATTGTGTGCTAAATATGCAAAATTCCTTTTTAAATAATAGATTTCATTTAGGAAAAAAAATTGTTTTTTTTTGTAGGCTTATTTGTCCAATGAGGACTTCAAAACCAAGTTTGGAATGAACAAGAAGGCATTTTACAAGTTACCAAAATGGAAACAAAACAAGCTAAAGCAGGCTCTCAATCTTTTCTAAGGTATTTTATATTTCCATTAAACAATTCTGAAATTTACAGTCTACTTCACAGCCCTGATAGGATTTTCTTCTCAATTAACGGTTTTACAGTTATTTGTCATCCTTAAAAATATTTTGCATGATCTTATTCAATTTCTTACATCTTTTTGAGGTGTTAATCGTGGGCTCTGAAAATTAACCACCACTTCTCAGGATAAATTTCTTCTTTTAATTTTATTTTGTTGTTTTGAAGAGCTGTAGAGGGTCTAGTTTTGAGAATGTGGATTAGATTGTACATAAGACACTACTTAAAAATTTCGCTATCATTTTCTGAGGACTTTTTGATCTAAGGTTCGAGATTTCTTAAAGGTACAAGCCTCTATGGTTAATTACTCCTTCCGGTAATGTGAGAGTAATTTCAATCAAGGCTATTTATTAAAAATTGAATGTTTAACATATAATAGCAACAAATTTAGGATTTAAATTGTATAATTCATCATTTGAAGCTTAAAGCGGATGGTTAAGAAATGAAAATGAAACTAAATCAAGATCCTATGGTTTCGTTATCCCGAGTCATCATAATCACTGCTCTACTTAGTCAGAGGAGATAGTTGACCCAAACTGATAGTAGAATCATTGTTAACAGTCATGGGTTGCGTCGTCCATGGTATCCTTGTAGATATGGGGTGGATGTTTGTCTAAGGGAACAAATTTATGTCGACCATAACTAGCATAAAGTTGTGTCAATCAATTGTACTCTTATGATTCACAACTCAAAGGGCTGAGAGTCGTTGGGGAATATATGAGCTGCAATCGTGATTGTAATATAATGATGTCATTTAGCTGCAACCACCAGGTCAGAGGTCTCTGGTCGTAGCCTTTATTTTTGTGGTGTCATTTGGCGGCAGAACCAGATGGACATAGGACTTGGATCACGTCCTTACTAGCAGCAATTTGATTGTGAATAATGAATACAATTAATATGAAATTAGCTCTTTTTGAACTGAAGTTGGTTGATCACCCTCAACAAACTGTTGTGGTGGGTGGTTGAGGTTTGTTTTAAGTCTTTAGTGATTGATTTTAATTTGAATATTTTAATTGATTATTTTGAAAATATTGATTTAAAATATTAACAAACTCCCCACCCCCACCCCCACCCCAGATTGAAATATTCAATCAACATGACCATCATAGAGGAATTTGAATATTTAAAGTATTTATATTTAAAGAGGGGCACTTAATTTTGTTTAGTTTAAATTTTTCAAAGTATAAGTCCCGTTGACTTCTTTTCTTAAAGGTAAGAGGATCGGACTAGGCGGTTTATACTAATAAATTCTTATTTTAGGATTTGAACATTTTTTTAAAAATTACTAGACTATCAACTCTAGTTCTTTTGACAAGGAGGATCAGACTAGTTAGGTGAGACTTACAATCTTTTCCTATAAACAAAGCGGCCCGATTAGCCCGTGCAACATTCTCTAACCTAGTTTTGAGCATCTAATACATTATTTGAAGCACATGTAGACATTTGAAAAAATGTATAATTGATTTATTTAAATAAACACCTTAAAATATGCATAATTCAAGAGTATCTCAAGTGCTACTCATCTAAGTTATTAAAAGTGGGCTCACATTTTAAAACATCACATTCAAACTAAGAGATAACCAAGAGATTTTTATAAATTTTGAAATCATTTGGAGTGTAAAGTATTTGCATAACTATATGATTTTAGGTTTTTAAAAAGGGATCGTATTCTGTTCACTAGCAGGTGTATTGTGAATCCGATGGAGGTAGTGATTGGTTTTAAATTTTAGCAAAGCTGCATATTTAAATTATTTTTCATCTCTAAGAGTCCAAGTTTGAAAACATAATTTTAAATTGACTTTCAAACCCTAAGAGCCAGAGTCTAAAGAGCTCAATTCTAAAATACTTTCAAGTTCATGAGCTTTAAATTTTAAAATCCAAATTTTATCCCTAAAAGTTTCTATTTAAAAAGTCTCAAGAGCCTAAATTTTTAGAAACCCGGGTCTCCGACATTTTAGACCTTAAGAGCCTAAATTTTAAAAGCTCAAATTTTCAAATACTTTAAAATTAAAATAGTTCGCATTTTATTATTTTTATTTTATAAGTTTGAAAAATCAAAGATTTTAATTGTTTACAAATCTAAATCACTGAAAATTCTAGTAGCCTCCAAGCCTCAACTCCTGTTTGAGGGGATGAGAAAATATTAGTCTTCCCAACTGTTTTAAGAGATGAGCTGGTCAATGTGGTGAGACACTACGACCAACGAGCAAAAATATAAATTTAAGTCGAGATCTTAAAAGATGCAACAAGCATTCAATGTTCCTGCACAGAAAGTTAGATCACAAACCGGTGTTCCTCAAATGGTACTTTACTTTCCTCGAACAGTACTCAAATCTCATGGACAATGCTCGCTTTTCTCGTGTACGAGCATTTAAAATCCCCATATTAAAAAGTTTTCTAAAATAGTCTGCATTTTTTCCAGAACAGTATTTAATTTCCCCACGGACGAGTACTTGCGCTTCCTCGAGTTGACATTTTGAAAATCCCTAAGTTGCCCCAAAATATATTTTTTTGGTTCTTACCTAGAAGACAACGACAATGACAATAGAATAAAGACAACAATATAATACAAACTTTCTTCACTTTTTTTTTTACAATAATGCATGATAATATAAAATCAGAAAGAAAAAAATGAAATAAAGTGTCTTAGGTTTCGGAAAAAATATTACTTCCAGACTCTAATAAAATCTTGCCACATGTCGTCATATATAAGTCGCAATCCCATTGAATAAAAAATAAAAATGTGTTTTATTTTAATGTGTGACCCGACCCCAACAAGCCCATTGCTTCCAAATTCTATTATGATTTTTTGTGAAGTTATTGAGGTGTTATTGAGATTTATTATGGTGTTATTTGAGTGGTATTGTGACGGTTGTGGTGCTATTGTAGTTTTTTATGGTATTTGAGTGGTATTGCAATTTTTCTTGTGGGTCGGTGCTATTGCAGTTTTTTTGTTGTGTTATTGAGCTTTATTGTGGTGTTAATTGAGTGGTATCGCAGAGACTGTGATTTTATTGTAGTTTTTGTGGAATTATTGAGGTTATTTGATGTTATTGTGATTTATGTTATTGTGATTTTTGTGGAGTTATTGATGTCATGATGTGTTATTGAAGTATATTATGATGTTATTTGAGTGGTATTGCGGCGGTTGTGGTGTTGTTGTGATTTTTTTGTGGTGCTATTTGATTGGTATTGTGGTTTTTTTAGCGGGCCAGTGTTATTGCAGTTTTTTTATAGTGTTATTGAAGTATTATTGATATTTATTGTAGTGTTATTTGAGTGGTATTGTGGCGTTTGTGGTGGTATGTTCGAATTGTGTTATTTCAGTGTTGTTGTTGTGTTATTGCAGTATTATTACGATATTATTGTGTTTTATATGAGTGGTATTGTGGCGACTCTCTTGTGTTATTCTTAACTAATGCTATAATGATGTTATTGCGATTTTTTATGTTACTCATATGTTATTAGGGTTTTTTTTTGTGAAGTTATTGCAATTATTTGGTGTTATTGTAGGGTTTTTGTGGAGTTATTGAGATGTTATTGATGTTTATTATGGTGTTATTTGAGCGGTATTGTGATGGCTGTGATGTTATTGTGATTTTTTTGTGGTGTTATTTGAGCGGTATTGCAGCAGTTGTGATGTTATTGTGGTTTTTTTTGTGGTCTTATTTGAGTAGTATAGTAGTTTTTTTTTTGTGGGCTGATGTTATTGCGATTTTTTGTGATGTTATTGAAGTTTATTGTGGAGTTATTTGAGTGGTATTGCGACTGTTATTGTGTTATTTTGAACGATGTTATTTCAGTGTTATTGTTGTGTTATTTCAGTATTATTGTGGTATTATTGATGTGTTATTTTGGTTTTATATGAGTGACATTGTGGCGGCTCTATTGTGTTATTCTTGACTAGCATTATTACGGTGTTATTGTGATTTTTTTGGTGTTGTGGATGTGTTATTGGGGTTTTTTGTGGAGTTATTGAGGTTATTTGATGTTATTGTATTTATTTAGTGTTATTACAAATTTTTTTGTGGAGTTATTGAATTGTTATTGAGGTTTATTGTTGTGTTATTTGAGTGGTATTGCAGCGGCTGTTGTGTTATTGTTGTTTTTTTGTGGAGTTATTGAGGTTATTTAGTATTATTGCATTTTTTATGGAGTTATTGAGGTTTATTGCGGTGTTATTTAAGTATTATTGTGATTATTTGATATTACTGTGATTTTTTTTTGTTATTGAAGTTTATTGTGGTGTTATTTCAGTGATATTGATGTGTTATTGAAGTTTTTTTTAGAGTTATTAAAGATAGTTGGTGTTATTGTGTTTCTTTTTGGAGTTATTAGTGTTATTGAGATTTATTGATGCATTATTTGAGTGACATTAGGGTGTTATTGTAGTTTTTTTATAGAGTTATGTGGTTAAAAATATTTTTTTTGGGTTTGGTGCTGGTAGGGGGTAGTGATCGGGTAGCGCTCACTGTAGTGTGTGGGCTCGAATAGAAGTGTAAGGGGGCGACTCGGCTCAGCCTTCAATTAAAATAGCAAAATCATCGGTCTCGAGAATAAGAAGCAGAATCAGTGACGGCCTCTCTAGCGGTAAAAATTTTTGTGTGCGGACTCCTGACGTAGCTTTAGGTGCCGCCGAAGTTATTTTTGAGTTATTTTCATATTATTTCTAGGTTATTTTCACTAATATCGAAATAATCCAAAAATAATTCAATAATAAAGGCTCGGGATTATTTCAGAATTATTTCAAGGTTATTGAAAATAAATAACAAAATAATTAGAAAAAATGTTGTCCTAGGAGCTGCGAGTGCAGGCCCTAGATGCTCTAGCGATCGGCACATTTAGGGGAGTGCTTGCCCGGGTTTCTCGGCCTGTGTGAGGGAGGATCGAGCTCGAGATCTACGGCAGTGGAGGTCGTGCGCACGAAGGGAGAAACAGAGGACCGATATCTTATAAGGTTCGGGCTAGGGCGGCGCTGGCAAGATTGCGGCTTGAAACGAGGGCTCTCGGTCTTTAGATTGCTGGCACGCAGAGAGAGGAGGATGGCCGATGAAGGCTAGGGTAGAACGGAGGTAACGGGGAAAGGTTTTCAGTGCAGGGAGGAAGAAGGGTAGGCGAGGGATCTGTGCGGCACGAACAGTGGATCGCGCGCGTCATCGTGAGCGGAAGGACGCGATACTGTGTAGAACGGACGGCGTGCGAAGACAGGAAAGGAGAAGAGGATGCCAGTCTGGATCGCGACACCGTGCGGCTAGGGTGAAGCGAGGAATGTCGCGCAGAGTAAGGCACGGCGGAGAGAATCGTCGTGCGCGAATGAAGAAGGAAGACAGGGACATATTGTTTAGGGTCTAGACAGGAACTGAAGAGATGAAGTGGAGAAGAAAAATACTCGCGAGTGTGACTAAGGGTCTATCTGTGACAGTTGATGATTATTTATAATCTGTTGATAAGCAGATTATTCGCAGAGAATAATCTGATAATTTGCAGAATATCAGAATAAACTGTCTTGCTGTCAGAACAGCTTATTGGGAGTTGTTGGATAAATGATGATTTTGCCCCTGTTTAGTTAAGTTGTTTGTAATAGAACTAAATGGAGAAAATAATAGATAGAACTAACACAGTTGAGTTACAAAAATTAAAATATATTACTCACTATTTTGTGAGTATCAAAAGAAATAAATAAGTAGAAATACAATTTCAATTAAAAATAAAAAAAATTAAAACGTTCAATAAGAACAGTAGATAGAGTAAGAACTAAAGGGTTTCATGAAAATGTCATTTTTTTCGGAAAAGTCAATAAAATAGGGCTTCTATTTTAATTTTTGTGTGAATGTAACCCTTCCTATAGTGAGCATAGCGTACTCCAGATGTTAATACAATGATTCTTCACACATCAAATTATGCCCTAACTTCTGCATATGATTAAAAAAATGAACATGAAGTCAAGTTTTGTAAACTATGCAGTAATGAATACGTTCAAGAAGTAATTAATTAGCTAATTTCAGTGAAAAAGAATAAAGAATTTTAACACCGACATTTTACCTAGGGTTCTTGAAAATCCAAAAATGAAAAGAGTGGGTGCTGCGATTCAGAAATATTGGGTAAGTGGAAACCATCAAGAAAGTATAGATTAAGAAGGAAAAGGAGATGATCGAGAATACCAACCGAAAGCATGCAATTCATACAATAGAGATCCCAAGTGATCGCATAAGATTCAAGAAAGGAAGAAGAGTTTCTACTTGCCTGTTGAAGATTCTCGCAAGCGAATCTATCGGAAGGAAATAACTCTTTTGTGCGAATCGAATGGAAGAAAGGAGCTCTTCTGCGAACCGAATGGAAGAAGAGAGCTCTGTAAGCGAACTGAATTGAAGAAGAGAACTCTGTGTGGAGATCGATCAGTAGGAAAGAGCTGTGTAGGAATCCATGCTTTTGGTTTTATGAAGAATCGAAAGCATTTTGATCAAGCAACGATTTGCACGACTTCAGTCTCCCGCGGCCTTTTGATCAAGCTGGAATCACGGTGTCGATCTCAGCGAATGGTGAAAGACGAGAAGAAAGATCGGAGAGGGGAAGGGTGACGCCGAGCAGAAGGCACGGGAGTAACTATTACCCCAACGCGAGAAGGAGACGTCCCGCGTTCCCGCCTATTAAAGAAATGGCGAACATAGTTTCGTAGCGTTTTGGAGACGCTCGGCGAACGCGTTTTTCAAACAGTGCGACGGCGTTTTAAAAACGTCGTCGCACCCCAATAAACTACCCCAAACGGGCCCTAAGAGGAACTGTGAGAAGTTAATGGCAAGAGAGGAATAATTTTTCTCTGTTGCGGTTTCATGTGGAGAATGAAATGGGGGGAATAAGTGGGATAAAGTAACAAACTATTAAACAAGTTTAAAATTGTACTTGGATTATCAAAAGAAAAAAATTTTATAAATAAAAATAGTTGTTTGTGGAATAATAATATGCAAGATAACATAAAATATAAGAAGATATATTATAAAAATTGGTTTAAATGTAAAAGCTTAAAGAACTGAGAAAAATATCAAAAGACTTATACGGAGTCTAAGAGAACGGTCTATGACGCTAAAAATTTTATTTTTAGTGATATTTATAACAAATTTGATACTAAGGATGGTAAAAATATATGTATAAACTAGTCAAATAAAGAGAAAAAAAGTAAAGATTTGACTCAAGTAAAGTGTCTTAAAGATGAAAATCAAAAAATAATTTTCTTAGAAAAAAATATTCAAAATAGGTGGAATATTCAAAATAGGTGGGTGTATTCAAAATAGGTGGGTGAGTTATTTTAATAAAGTTTCGGAAAATACGATCGACCTTAGTCGCGACTTCTTAGTGATCTTAATATCGTGAATAATAATAAAATATTTCATTTTACCTTCACAATAATAAAAAAGAAATTGATGAGGCTTTAAAGAAAATCGAAGGTGGAAAGTTTGCAGGACCTGATGATATCCCAATTGACATGTGGAAATATTTAGGAGATTTGGGAGTTTCTTGGCTTACTAAACTCTTTAATATTATTTTAAAAACTAAAAAAATACCTGATGAGTGGAGGAAGAGTATTTTGACCCTCATTTTTAAGAAGAGTGTGCAAATTATAGAGGAATTAAGTTGATGTGTCATACTTTAAAATTGTGGGAGAGAGTAATTGAGCATAGGTTAAGACATATTACAAAGATTTCTCATATCTAATCTGGATTTATGTCGAGCAGGTCTACTATGGAAGCTGTGCATTTATTGAGAGGGTTGACGGCGAAATTCAGAGATAATAAGGAGGATATACGTATGATTTTTATTGATTTAGAAAAAACTTACTTTAAAGTTCCAAGAGATATTTTTTGGAGAGTTCTTGAGAAGAAAGGTGTTGATATGACTTATATTCAAGTCATTAAAGATTTGTATACAAGAGCTGTTACTTGTGTTCGAACAGGAGGATTGACCAAACATTTTCCTATTTCTATTGGTTTACATCAGGGATCGGCTTTAAGCCCATATCTTTTTGCTTTAGTTATGGATGGTCTTACTGGACACGTCCAGGAGGATGCATTTTGGTGCATGCTTTTTGTTGATGATATCCTTCTGGTGGATAAGACGAGAGAAAAAACTCTGGAAAAAAACTTGAATTATGGGGATCCACCTCGGAGTCTAAAGGCCTTCGTTTCAATAGAACTAAAGCTGAATACATGGAATGTAATTTTATTAGTAGTAGCTCTAGTGACAGATATGTAACTATGGGTGATCAAATTATTAAAAGATGTGAACGCTTTAGATATCTTGGGTCTATTGATCAAAGTGATGCTGATATTGATGGAGATGCTATTAGTAGAATTCAAGTTGGTTGGTTGAAGTGGAGTAATGCTTCAGACCTATTGTGTGATAGAAAAGTATCGGTTAGACAGAAAGAAAAATTTTATAAGATGGTGGCGAGACCTGCAATGCTCTATGACACTGATTGTTGGCCTTTAAAAGAAAAGCATAAAACTAACTTAAAGCGTTGCCGAGATGACAATGATTGGGTGGATGAGTGTCTTTACACTTAGAGACAAAATGTGAAGAAAAAGGATTCTTGTAGCCGACCCCACTTAGTGGGATAAAGGTTTGTTATTGTTATTGTTGTGTTGTAACTTATTGCTGCTTATGATCAGCCAATCTGTGTAATTAATGTTGCACATATCCAAAGATTTACTACTGCGCATTAGATTTAGCAATCTCTCAGAACTCAAAAGATTGTTTTTTTTTTTCTGGTTTTTTGACAGATGGTGCAGCTCAGAGGATGAAGTTTCTGTGATCTGATTCTGTGTTTCTGGACATTTGTAAGCTTTAAGTTTTGAAATGTTAGCCAGTTCAGGATAAATTTCATTAAACTATCTGACATAAATCTGTTTTCATCTTTATTTACATAGCTGCGACTTAACTATGTTTTTGTGCTAGAGGTTAGGCATTGCACTGCAATAATCTCTCTTAATTTGGTAAATTCAAGCTTATTATTGTATAAATCCAGTGTTATATTGTTATGATCCCATTTTTCGAGATCATGATAAATAGCAATTGGAGGATGCTGACAATTTTAAAATTTAAGAGGGAAAGAAGAAGAAAATACAGAGTAGAGAATAAAAGTTGACCTCATATTTTTCATTTCTTCAAGCTCTCTAAATAGAGCTATTTATAGTTTTATAAGTGATTAATTCATTAATAGTAATCTTTAACTTATTAACTATTCTTATTAACCTAATACAAAAAACTAATCATCTCACGGTATCCTATCCTATATGGAGTTCGGATTATTAATTTTTAAACAGTAATAAATCAAAGAAACGTTGTATTGCTAACGTGTACTGATTCATCTTTGCGCATGAAAGCTGGAAGTTCAGAATTAGGGGCTTTAATGATCTGATTTTGAGTTAAGTTGGGATCAGCTTGAATGAATATAGTGCGGCTCAAAGTTGGCTCATTGCTCGTTATATTTGATTTTGAGCGGAGTTGGTTCCAAATCAATCAAGCTCGATCCGGCACAAAATCAAAACGAGCCGGCTCAAATCGAGTTATTTGGATATGTTTCAGTTTGGAATCGGCTTGATTTGGCTGAAAATTGAAACTAGTTGGCACAAATTGAGTTATTTGGATTTGCTTCAGCTTGAAATTGACTCGCAATTCATTATATTTAATTTTATAAATAAAAAAAAAATATTATGAGTTGATCTCGAATCAGTTTTAGTTGATTCATTTTATAACTCTAAATTGGCTTAAAAAGTTCATTCCAAAGTTTCGATTCATAGTTTGGCTCTTTTACGTCGATCCGATCTTGGCTAAAATTCGAATCAATTTTCAGTTGACTAATGATTAATTTGGGCTAAATTCACAGCCCTATGCAGAATGAATTGTTGATTGTTATGCACGTATGCTCGCTTATTTCTATTCTTTTATTATTTTTTTAATCCTTTCGGCTATTTATTGTTCTTTTATTTGATTATAATTACTTTGTAAGTGTTTGTGGTGACAAATTTATACAATTACCCATAATAATGTTCAAATTTTTCTAGTTTTTAAATGAATCGTTTCTCTGCACTAATATTATGGAGCAGTTACGCCAAATTGGCCGTATACAATATGATGAAATTTCTGCGTTGACCCAATTAAGTAATTTATTGTCATGGTTTCACTAATTAATAGTTCTAATACAGCCAAGCCAAGATTAGTGTATAATTAATTGATGACTATTTTACCACTTTACTCAAAGCATTTTATAATTAATATATGTAGTTGTTAGATAAGTAAAGACTAGTATTTAGGTGTGAGGGGAAAAAAATATTATATTAGGACTCTGCACGTAGAGTTACGTGCGGGTCCAATGAAATCATGCCACACGTGAAGGTGAGAAAAATAAATCAGCCCGATAATTGAAGAATATTTCTCCTGTGTTATTTAATTGTTATTGATGTGTTATTGTATTATTATAATATCAGGAATATTTTCATAATATAATAACACATTAATAGCATACAATAACACCGGAATAACATGGGGGGAATATTTCCGTGTTACTGGACCAATTTTTTTTTTCTCACCTTCACGTGTGGCGTGACTTCATTGGACTCTGCACATAACTCTACGTGCGGAGTTCGTGCAGAGTCCTGATTTAATATTTTTTCGTGAGAGATATATCTAAATAAATTTTTTTTTGGTGGGTGTATGTAAATGTCCCTTTCTTTAGGAAAATCTACCTCTATTCCACACTATTCTTACATATTTACATATCTAACACCAAAAGTGATATTCATATTTATAACATTGTGGCATCAAAAACTTATGCATGAAAAGCTGTACTCTGTTTTACAAAGTTAAAGATTTAAGTGGTATATATATATATATGTAAACATGAATGTTTAGATGTTAAAATGTAAATACATATGAATTTTGTGGCATATATGTAAATGCTTCAATCCAACTTTGGGATGTAAAAAGTAATGGGCCGCATTAAGTTATTAACAGTGAATATAAAAATTTAATTTTTATCGTAAACTTTTGTCTTGAATCTTTTTTAAAAATAATGTTAATTTATTAAAATTAATTAAGAAAATGATAGACAGGAGGGAGAATTAAGGACAAACATAGCCGACCCTAGTGAGAAAACGTTGCAGAATTTTGTTTTGAACCCTTCTTCCTTTTCCTTACTCCAAGCTCTCTCTCTCTTCTCGCTTCCACTCTGTGATATGGATTGAGATGCGGAGGAGTTCGTCTTCTCATTCATCCTTCTCTGCCGGCGCAGAGTCTCTGCTGATCAATTACGGTTTATATCTGGAGTTGCCACTGATTCGTCGTAAGGCATGGCGCCGATTTGGGGTGGCGATGGTGCGCCGAGCGTATCTCATATTCTCATCGCTTTCATCTTCGCTCTAGGGTTCGCTCCCGTGAGGTTCTTGCTCAATTTCCTCGTCTACAAGGTACCCTTGCTGATTACGGTTAAGGGATTTATATTGTGTTTTCGGGAGTGGATCTTTGGGATTAGTGTGGCTCTCTTGATGCGGGGATTGTGATGGAAATAGATTTTCCTTTTTATTAAGCGGTGTGGTCAGCCTTGCAGTATGAATGATTTCTTTGGATAAATGCTCGTTGTTTCTGCTCTGGGTTAATTTGCGGTTGGCAGTGTTTTAAAATTCTATTGTTCTTTATTTTATTCAAATTGAAATTTTGAGTTCTATATCAACAAAATAATTTAATGAAGGCTATTTGATTCGAATAATGCTCTTATAATATTAACCATGGCTCTATATTTAGCAGGCAACTAATTATTGGGTGTGATATAGCCATATGGTAATTGAACAATTGTTTGAGGATATTAAAAAAGAGACTCTTTTGAAAATTGTTCCAAGCTTCTGCCTTCTATTCATCATCCTTTTGTTTTATGCTTGTTACGATTATCCAGCCAAACATAAATATATCTTGGAGTCCTTGTCTAATTCATAATAATGTTGATTTTAGCAATGCTTCTTCTGCCCTTGATTTTTTCCTCAGCATGAAGTTTAGTGATGTTGAAATGATTAATAAACATGACTAGGCAAAAAGAAATAAATGGCTTGTCACGGGAAGAAAAAATTTGCATACACAAGACGTACGCAGAGTTGTGCACGTCTGTAACCTGAAAACATGTTACAAAGAGGATTTCATGAGGTTATAACCGCGTTATATTTTTTGTAATCTACCTGTATATGAAAACAGAAGCGCGTAACTTACTAGAAGATACAGGTAGGTTACAGGGGGTATAACGCGGTTATAACCTCCTGAAATCCTTCTTGTAACCTGTTTGCAGGTTACAGACGTACGTAGCTCTGCGCACGTCTTATGTACGCAAATTTTTTCTGTCACGGGATGGGGATGTGATTGTCATATCGGATTTCATGTTTGAAGATAAAATCTTAGACATTAAGCACGGGCTCTGTTACTCTTGAATTCAATTTTTCTTTTTAGAAGATCTCCTATGGATATAGAACAACAGTTGCAATATAAGATTGATCAAGCTAAAATCTCAGTAAGCCATCTAATGTCATTTAATATTTTTATTATGTGTTTACATTGCTGTTGTTGTTCTATATCCATATAATTTCATTTACTACCATAAAGTCACAAACATTGGACTGGAATAGATGCTTTACATTTCTGCTAATAGGCATGCTTTTCTCTAAAACCGAAGAAACTTGTTTTTTTATTGACTCAAAGAAGAAATATTTTTATTCATTGATTCAAGTTAGAAATCTTGTATTCATCATGGTTGTATCTCATTTAGAAATTAATAGGTTTTAAATTGCTATGTATAGCATTTATAAGTCGGTGTGAGCTTAAAAAGCAAACGACCATCTAAGGGACTTACTTGAGATTTATAGTAAGTTGAATGTCTCAGATTCATGTATTTGAGTTTAACTTTGCCTAAAAATATTAAAGAATAAAAAATATCTCTGATTAATGGAATGTATTAGAATTATTAGCCTAATTTTTGCTACAGTTATTATTAGTCTTTATTTGCTTCCTTTATTTGTTTTTGTTTCCATATTTATTTATTTCCTAATTTGGTCTATTTTTGAATTTATGTCTTCTTTTTTATTTTGGTCTTGTAAGATGTATTAATACCTCTTTTCCTATCAATCAAAGTATGAACTTCTATCCTCAAAAGTTAACATGGTATCAGAGCCATTGTTCTAACTTTAGAGATTTTACCCCTAGCCGCCGGCCACCTGTAGGGCTTTCTCCGTCGCCAACAAACTACAGGTTTTCCTTGCTTTTCTTCATGCTGTCAGGATCTGCGTCGGACCACCTGCAGGTGCTCCATACCTTTATCTCCTTTGTTGTGCCTCTTTGTTGTGTCCCCTTTGCCAAGCCTCCTCTATCGTGTCTCTTTTAACGTGCCTCTTTTGCATCTATCGACCGTTTCAGCCGCCGGAGATCCCATTTGTCGACTTGAGCTTTCTTCAGCCGACCTCATTCTCCCTGCTGGTATTTCTAGGGCTCCTTCCAGCCGTCAAGTTTTCCTCTGTTCAATGTCCAAGATCTTCCTATATCTCGACAACCCAACATCACATTTGGCTCTGTTGGATTCATGGTGGACTCTTCCACTTCCGAGCTTTCTCCCGACGCTGTCCTTGAGTTCACTTGAGGATCAACACCTTTCTTTTGTTGGGTAATGTGGAGACCCGGTCCACCGAATTTAATTAGCTTCTTAATTAAGTATCTCAAATCAATTATCGTCCGTTGAAATTGATTCTGACGATGAGATACTTGGACTGATATTTTTGGCTTCATTGTCAAATAGCTGGGAAGCCATGAGAATGACAGTTAACAACTCTGTAGGTAAAACCAAGCTGAAATATGATGATATTCGTGATTTGATTCTTGCTGAAGAAGTGCGCAGGAAAGATTCTGACGAGACCTCAGGTTTGAGTTCAGCACTGAATGTTGATTCCAGAGGGAGATCACATGACAAGAACTCAAACATAGGAATGTCGAAATCAAAACGTAGAAGCAAGAGCAAGTCAAAGTTTGGTCAGCAAGCAACCTGCTGGAATTGTGGCAAAACTGACCACATAAAGAAGAACTGTGAAAATTCTAAGAAAACGGAGAACGTCAGTGCTAACGCTGTAACTGAAGAAGTGCAAGATGCGTCATTGTTTGCAGTTCATAGCTCTGTTGACGACTGGATACTGGACTCGGGGACTTCTTTTCACACATATTCCCACCAGGAGTTAATGAAAAATTATGTTTCAGGTGACTTTGGGAAAGTGTACCTGGCTGATGAAGCAGCTTTGAACATGATGAGAATGGAAGATGTTGAAATTGCACTCCTTAACAAAAATAAATGGATCCTGCAAAAGGTTAGACACATTTCTGAACTGAAAAAGAACCTCATATCTGTTGGGCAGCTTGATGAGGGAGGTCATTCAGTAGTGTTTTCTGATAACACCTCGAAGGTTACTAAAGGAGCATTGGTACTGGCTCGGGGTATGAAGGCTAGTACGCTATATATGGCTACTGGTCTAATTAACAGTGTTGATACCACAGTTGCAGAGAGCACAACAGACATGTGGCATTGCAGACTTGGACACATGAGTCAGAGAGGTATGAAAAAGCTTTAGTCTGTCCAGAGACAAGCTACCAGAACTGAAGTCTGTTGATTTCGGCATGTGTGAAAGTTGCATCACGGGGAAACAGAAGAAGGTCAGTTTCCTGA